ACATGTGCTTATAAGGATCGTGCGAATACAACAGCATACGATTTACCTACATGAAAAAAGATTGACAATCTATACAATCTGTATCAGGAAGTCTAGTGCTTTTTTCGTTCCTCCTCGAATCCAACGCCGGGCACATACTGCTCCCGAGGATTGTGGAACAATGAGTGGTTACCATCTCCCCATGGGAAAGGCTGAAAGAAAAAAAATACCATGTACATTCAACTTCGAAATTTTTTTTGCTTCTGTCTCTTATTGTTTTTGGAATTGAGGCAGGATGAAGAGTACTATGATAAGAGAATAACTTGACAATTGAGGAATAACCTTGTTTCTGACGTTGAGGTAAGGATATTCAACGAATTCCGGACGATCGTGTGCCATGTGGTTGGTATGGTCTTTGTAGGCAGCATACATTGTCAGGGCAAGGCATGGGAATCGAAGCCCAGATGAAAATCTTCTTCCATGTTGTCTTGGTCGCTAAGAGGAGCATAAATGAGCATAAAAGCTGTTAACACCGAAAGCCATCCATTGTTTTGAAAACATGCAAATTGCTTCATTCGTTAGACAGCGTTCAGACTTCGCGATGACGCGAGGCAGCGAGCGTCATCGCGAAGGCTGAACCTGTCCCTGCCTTGGAATAGAAACAACTCAATGGATACTTTACAAAGGATAAAATCAATAGAAACATTAGATCATTAGATGGCGGCGTACACCTCACTCTAAAGCAAGAAAGTGCGATTTATCAGTCTTGTGATAGCCGTCGTATACCGAATGATAGAATGATGGAAACGCTTTCAATGAGTCTATCCTCCCATTGAACCTGGGTAGTATAAGGGGAAGATGAATGCACTGGTAAGGAATGTAATTCCCTGGCAGACAGAGGCAATATTACATCAACGCAGCCTCTGTTATATAACGTAACCCTTGCGGCACGAATTTTATTAAAAGTGCCACTAAGCGCAATTCAATAAAGGGGCTCATCCTGTCCTTGTGGTCAATTGTGATAAAACGGTAAGCTGACCACGGGACTGATGGTCACTTCACACACAAACACTTGAAATTCACCAATGCTAATTTTGAGGATTTCCTTTTATTCACTGTTTGTCGTCATAGTGGCGAAATTCTACCAAATACTGCTCATTAGTGCTCGACGAGCTAATGAGTTAAGACGAAGACGAGTGATGAGTGAAAATAAGTTGTTTGGGCACACCTATGAAAAGAAGTGCTTTCACATTGCACATCTACGACAATCGATCTAATGGAAAACATGGACATTCGATCTAGCGTCTTCCAAAATCTACGCATGATACATAATAAAAATTCCACTCGCTCTCCTCAAAAATTGATGAATAATTTTTTTTTTTCTGTCTAATTGATAACTGATGATAGCCAGCTTTCTTTTTAATATAGGTTGGAAGAAAGTCCTGTCAGTGGTTTTTTTAAGATAGCTCTGTTTTTTGATCTTCGAAGCTCGAACATGACGTAACATGCTAAGGTTGTAGAACATTCTCGAAGCTTTTCCACAAGAGGTATATCAAGGCTCCTGCTCTTCCCTGTTTATTTATGATGTCAGTTTCACTGGAGCAGCTTCGAGTGATCATCTTCTATGAGTGGCGCCGCAGCACTGGAGCGACGGCAGCGGCGCGTAACATCAACTGTGCATTGGGGGAGGACACCACCACCGTCAGGACTGTCCACCGTTGGTTCGCTCGCTTCGCGAAAGGAGAGACGATCTTTCGAAGACAAACCTCGTCTGGGACGCCCTCGCGGCGTAGAAGGTTCCACCGTTCTCGAAACTGTCAGAGAGGATCCAGAGGCTACCACGCGCAGTATTGCGACAAGGCTAGGGTGTAGCCATACAACAGCTCTAAACCGCCTTCAGGCCCTTGGCTACAGAAAAGTCCTCACGCGATGGATACCTCATGCTCTAACAGATGGCACGCGGTATGCCAGGGTGAGCATCTGTCGATCCCTCGCACCCTATCTCCCTCTTTACACCCACCGTAACCGGAAGGAGTTTCTGGAAGATATTGTGACTGGAGATGAAAGCTGGGTCCTCTATGATTCCAACCTACGTCGTGCCATGTGGCTCCCTCGAGGAGAAGACCCGCCTACGCACCAGATCGAACCTGCATGCACCCCCCCACTCCAACAAGCGTCGCTCCTTGGCTGCTTCATGGGGATTCGAAGGGCACCCCCTATGACTGCACCACGCAGCTGCTCTACGCAAGGGCATCCGCACTTACCTGCACGCCGTTTACGCACACCCGTGCCGCCCAACTCCAGAAACTCGCGCAAGCTCTTCGAGAAAAGCGGCCGAGACGAGCTTCGGTGCACCTCCTCCATGATAACGCCAGACCACATGTGGCTAAAGAGACCCACCGCCAAATTGAGGAGCTAGGCTGGGAGACCGTTCCCCATCCACCATATTCTCCAGACCTAGCCCCCTCCGACTACTACTTGTTCCGCTCCCTCAAGGCTTTCCTAGGTAAGAAAACCTTCAGCGAATTTGATGGCATCAATCGAGAAGTTGCCTACTTCTTCGACTCGCAGCCTCCTCAGTTCTGGGAGAAGGGGATAGCTGAGTTGCCCATTAGGTGGAGCACTGTAGTGGCTAACAATGGCGATTATATTATTGATTAGTTTTTATTTCATGTTGAGTTAGAAAATAAAAAAAAAAATCACAACAGTGACAGGACTTTCTTTCCAAACCTAATTGACTCGCAAACATATTTTGAGTAGTGTCTACAAAAGTCAAAATTCCATAAAAATTTCATTTTGTTGTGAATCCGGTTTGCACCTTGATTCAAGCACGAGTTGTCGAAGTCATCCAACTTTCTAAGCGAAGCAGTTCCTATAGGCTTTACTCGGCGGTGAGGCGAGGGGGGGGGGGCGTTTTGCCTGTGAACAATGGCTTAGCGCTTTGTGTTTGCAAACAACGAATAAGATGAACTTCATTTCCAGTTCTTCGTAGTTTTTCAGTACTGTACGCGGTTTTTAGCGTTGGAAAGTGCCGAGAAACAAATGTGGGCCAGGGATATGGGGATCGTAAGATTAGCTCAGATTAAGAAACTCCGGGAGTGGGTGGGTTCCGTCATGCAAAAAGTGGTTGGAAAATGGAACTCGTAACACCAAGCAGCTTTAGAGAACATAACAAATGCTGTCCCCTTTTCCAGCCCACCGTAGCCGAACTGCGCTCCATTCCATTTATTATTATCTGCGTTGTATATATGGAACCTTCCTTAATTCAACCTCACAGGTGGGGACTATGTCGAAAAAAAGCTCTGCCAGAAAATAAATCTGACAGCATCTGTACAAGAAATTAGTCGAAGTCGAAAAACCTACTGTCAGCCTCCTTCAAAGATTCTGTCATTGAGCTTTTGAAACCGTCGAAGTTATGTGATCCATAGAATCCTCCCGATGAGTTCCTTTGGGTCGATCGAATAACAGCCCCACGAGTGGCTGGTAGCAGACGGCTCAAGCCAGACATTCTCTGGAATTCTACATTTGTTATGGAGAATATAAAAATGGACCAGCAATACACATGACAGTGAAACGGAAATAACGAATAAAGGAACACTTCCTTCTATTTTAGTGCACTTCAAAAATACACAACCAGCATTGAGAATGAATGTATCTGCTTGAAATTGAGGGACAATGAACTGTTGTTTATCTACGG